TTTTTTTGCACGCCCGGGTGCCCGGCCGGGCGTGAGAATCTTCCTAGCTATGGATGGAGTACGATCATTAACAAAAGTAAAATAGTCAAATTATTGAAAATAGTCAAATTATTGAAAATAGTCAAATTATTGAATGTGCTAGCTAAGCTGGACGCATGGTCTAACATTTATACCTCCCTGTACGGGAGAGCCTTGGTCCTCAATGCCTCCATCTTCTCCATGCTATGGTATGCGGGCACCCTGTGGTCACCCCCAGGACCAGTACTTCGAAGGCTCCGAAGGGTTGCAGCAGCCTATCTGTGGACAGGGAACCCAACAAAGGGTAACTTCATTTCCAAGGTAGCCTGGAAACAGGTAACACAAACAAAGAATAGGGGGGCCTGGGCATTCTGGATCCCGAGAAGCAGATTAAGGCACTCTAATCGAAATGGATTATCAAGCTGGTAACACAACCCCACTTGCGCTGGGTTCCCCTAGTATTGGAGCACATACGAGGGCTTGCGAAGTACTCAACTCCTCCAAATATGGAGGCACCTTCTGGATATTCTGCAAAGGGTGGGCAAAAAGGGGTAGGATAAGGGAGCGGGGGGGTGAGGAGGGAACTTCCTCCCCATCATACTGGGCCCAGATTCTCAGGATATGGGAAGAGATATTCCCGGCTAGAGTACGGAAACCTAGATCCAAGGAGGAAGTCCTCAGGCAACCATTGTTTTGTAACCCCTGGTTACAGGATTCCCAAGGGAAGCCGAGGACACTAACAGCAAGGGATACCAGATGGGGGAATTGGTTGGAGCACAGGGTCTGGCAGATCAAGCACTTACGGTCCCAAAATGACAATAGATGGAAGACGGGGAGGGAACTGAGAGCCACGATGAAAGGTTGCCATAAGCTCACGGAGAATCTAAACGACGTTCTAATCTCCATTCTGCAGGAATGGACGCAGTTGTTGAGAGGGCTGTGCAAATGGGAGTGGGGTGATTGGGCGACCTGGCACATAAGTGCAGTTCCAAAGCAGGCCTTCAGGGTGCAGCAGGAAGTGGGCCCCGATAAACAGTGGCTGGATGCAGAGATGTTCGTAATTCGTAATCCGGGAATCATTGTGAGTCACCTGGATAAGGAATCCAAGACGGCAATCACAGTTAAGAAGTGCCTGCTCAGGAAGATCAGGGTGGTAGAGGATGACGAATTTACAGTATTTGCACCCACGGTAGCCATCGAAGATTTGGAGTACGACACGGCGGAATGGGCATGGAATATTAGGGGTGGAGAGACACGAGTGGCAACGAGGATCAACATTCTCCGCTATACAACGAGAATGGGTTATAGGCTGAGGAGAAGATTGACCCAACTGGATCTTCCCCTAGCCTTAAGATGGGAAAAGAGGGAGGGGATACCAAGAGACCAGGTGGGGAAGTTGCCCTGGTCGTCCCTTCACAGTATAAGATTGGGTAAGGTCAGAAGTCTACAGTGGCTCATCCTCCACGTGGCCCTCCCAGT